CAGGAGGATTAGGGCCAGAATATTCTAGTGGCAGTGCAAGTCACCAATAGGATTCCAGACATTGGGTGCAGGGCTTTGCCTCTTGCTAGTTGGGATCCTTATTATCTAGAAGTCTGTTAGATCTGAATAGTTTTGGGTACTGAATGAATTGGACAAAAAGGGTGATGGTAGTTCTGATTTGCAAGGCTGTTATTAAGCCTGCTTATTTCAGTTATTCACTTGGGCTCCAGCTCCTTTGACATACTCCTAATCTAACTGCCAGAAGACAAGCACAAAGTAGTGCATTAACATGGGTTCCTCTCTGCCAGGGATGTTCAGCTGCCAGGTCCTTTGAAACTGGCTGGCCTAGACAGAAGAAAATCAGCACTTACTTTATTCACTCATTCAAGAATGAACAAAATATGGAAAATCCTCCCCGAGTGAAATTATGAGTTTTGCAAAAAAAAAAAAAAAAAAATCCAATGATTTTCACATTTGGGGGACTTATTTTTGATATTACAATTATTAGAAAATGGGGCTTACACACATACACACACAAACATACAAACCTTATAGTTTCTGAGCAAAACAGATTGTTCTTTGTGCAAAATACAATACAATACCAATGTTTTGTGCAAAAAAATAACTCTTCATCAATTTTTCACAAACATTCTTGAAATACAAAACAAAATACGCTGACTTTTTTCCCCCTTCTACACTGAGGCACCCTTTCTCACTGAGAATGAAAGAAACTAAAGAGATTATCATATATGTATTTTTGCCCAATCCAGGCATGAGAGGGGATCAGGTTGGGACAGGTGTTATCGCGCACAAAATTGCTGCTGTGCTGTTGTCCAACCATCACCTGTCCCTCAGCTGCACTCTGTCTGCCAATTTTGGTAGTAAAAAAAGCTTCCGTACTATCAAAATCAGCCAACAGAGTGCTGCTCGGGGATGGGTGATGGTCGGACAGCAGTGCAGCAGCAATTCTGTGTGTGATAAAACCTGTCCCTGCCCATTCTCCTCCTGTGCCCAGATCAGGCAAAAATACATATGCAATAATCTCCTTTGACTATTCTTTACATCCTTGGTGGCAATAACTGCCTTATATGCAGATAGTTTCCTTGTCTGGCTTGCTGATCTGGAGGTATAATTCTTGCTTAGGATGTAAAAGGTCCCAGGTTCAAATCAGACAAGCTAGCCTTCCTGTCTGTACCAATTTTTTTTAAAAATCTGTGGCTATTGGAAGAGGTAGGATGTGTAGTTTTGCTATTCTTTCACAAAAGCAGCCTAGGAAACTCTTTTATCAGCTGAGCTGTGATGATGGAGCAGATCTCTTATAGTCCCTAGACTGGCAGAGACAAGCATACACACACCCGGCCATGGTGATGAGTGATCTTTATTGAGTATTCTTTATTGTGGCCCTCAGCAATCTTGATTCAAATATTAAGGCAAACAGATGCATAAAAGTTATAAATTTATTTTCCTCTTTCAAAGTATGATAAATGACTGTCTGCATACCCTGTTCAACATATTATAGGGGCCAAAAAAAAGCTATTGCCAAAGTACTGGTGGGAGTCAAACCCAGGATCTCCTGTTTACTAAACAGATGCTTTAGTCAGCTTAGCCATAGTGCCTTGCAGTAGCTTGATCACTGTCAAAAGACAGAAGCAAAGTGATGCATTTGTATTGTGTGTTCACTTCTGCCAGGAAGGCTCTTTCAGTTGAAGCAGTACAACTGCCTTAAACAGTGCTGCCTTCTTTTCCAGGGCAAATCAAATGACCAGCTCTGGTCTAGGGGTATGGCTGCTCCTTGGAGTGTGAAAGTTTGGGTTTAAATCATGAACCATCCCTGTCTATGGTGTGAAGTCTAATTGTGCTAATAAATTTCAATTTTGCTCAGGATGGTGTGCAGCTCTAATTTTACTTTGGGAGGGGCAATACCCCGCTAAATATATGGGTCAAACAAGCTGTGAATATGTACCCAGTTGCTCTTACCCCACCACTGCAACCAGTATAGATGCATCCACTGTGGCAGAAGCTGGGTCCACGCTGGCTCTTAGTTCCAAGGCAGGCATTTTGATCTGCTAACCTACAATTTCCTGATCAACTGCTTTTCCTCATCCCTGCTTCCCATGGGTTTGGAGAAAATCCCAACAGGTCCAAGGTTTTTGTCCATCTTGCTGGTACTTGGCTTGGAAAAAACAGCTACTAAAAGGAGAGTGACACAAACCCAGCCGTGATTGTATAGTGGTTAATACTCTGTGTTGTGGACACAGCAACCTCGGTTCGAATCCACATCGCAGCAGAAGCTCACAATTTTTATGGATTTCTATACCTGCTCTTAGTAATGGGGGTAGCCCTTCTGAGCCAGACCCATCCTCCCCTACGCCTGTACTGCCAGGATAAAAAAGGACTTTTTGAGTAAGGATGGCACAGATTCCTCACTTGGGATATTCTTGCTTGGAGCAAGTGAGGTTCTGGGTTTAAAATGCTGACAAATTCTACCTTCTATAGCACTCTAGATTTATATATTTTTGTTAGGTGGGGATAGTTCTCCCTTTCCTCCAGAAAGCTACAGAGAAAAACCCATTGGCCCACCCCTTTCCTCTCTCCACCAAAATAAACATGCCCATCATCCCCAAGCCTTGCCAGCCTCCCCAGATCATTATTGATGACAATGCATTGTGGCTGCAGCAACCTAGACTTGCATATGGCCCCACAGCAAATAGGATGGAATTGTTGTTCTCACTGGATGCAAAATGGTAGCCCTTGCTTTGCAGGAAAGGGGCAATGCTCTGTTCCTACATCTAAGGACCTTATCACA